AACACTGACCTAGGTCCTCATTTTACCGACCTCAGAAGGACGGAAGGCTGAGTCAACCCTGAGCCTGGTGAGATTCGAACTGCCAAATTGCAGGCAGCTGGCAGTCACCAGAAGGAGCTGAGCACTGCGCCATATATAAACATATTAACTAAATAGCTTGAACATGTTCCGATCAAGCCTAACCTTGATTTCATCCCCCCACTAAATATGGTACCACCGTTTCCCACCCTGCCTGTTCCACCCCGCCCCCTGTCTTCCAGGGCCAGGAGCTTTGGCACATGTGAAGATATGCATTTCTACGAGGGGTTACAAGCGCAGCTCAAGCCGTGTCCTTGAAAGGAGGCATGTGGGGTCCAGCCCAGCTCTCTCCAGGCTCCCCTCTCCATGGGGCAAAGACTGGACTGGGGAGGAGAGGAAGAGAGGGGCTTTGAGGCTCTCCAGAGAGGCAGTTGAGGATCCTCTTTGTGGTTCTGGTGGGACTGGCTGGACCAGGGGTGGGTTTCAACAGGTTCGCGGTGGTCCCTGCGAACCGGTTGGTCGGCGAACCCGGAAGTAAGTAACTTCCGGGAACGGCGAAGGGCCCACCCGTGCGCCCGCGCTCCTTACCCGGTTTTGACGAGTTCTGCGCTTCCATGCATGTGCAGGACGTATACAGTGCCTGCACGATCCTCCAGGAGCAGCTGGAGCATCGCACAGACGCTAGTACGCATGCGTGCGCCGCGCGTGTGCACGCGCCGCGCACGTGCGCGAGGACGACACCGGCCCCGTTCCAACCGAACTGGTTGGAACGGGGCGAGAAACCCACCCCTGCTCTAATGGGACAGCACAGAGACGAAGCAGGTGGGTGGGCCGACCCGGGATTTCCACTACCAATTCGGGCGAACCGGTCCGAAACGGCTGAACCCCACCTCCGCATTAATCCAATGTGAGCATCTAAAGGGGGCTTCTGAACTTTGGAGACTTTAAGTTGGGTGAACTTCAACTCCCAGAATTCCCCAGCCAGCAAGGTAGTTTCTGATAGTTGAAGCCCACCCAACTTAATGTCTCCGAGGTTGGAAAACACTGACCTTCTTGGATGTTCTAAATGGAGATCTCTCTCCAGTCTGGTTCTTCTGGTCTTCTAATGGTGTCTCCATCACCCCTATACACCTCAGTCCATCCACCTTCCTGCTGATTGTCCTCCTCTTCTCCTCCACCTTTCCCACGCTTATGGAACTTTTCTGGAGATTGTAAGCGTTGCCTTAATAGAAATTGATTGATTGATGAAGACCATCAAGGTAGTGTCAATCTTAACAACCTCCCAGAGGAAGATCTGTCTCCATCCTGGTCCTTCAGCTCTTAGTGGTCCTCCATCCCCACTGTAACTGAGTCCTTCCCCCTTGCTCTTGGTCCTCCTAATCTTCTCCTGCCTTCCAACTTCATGGACTTCTCAAAAAGAGCTGGGTCTTCCCGTGGATTGATGTTCTGCCATCCGATCATTTCTGATTGATCCCGTAGACGTTCTCCACGAAGATCTGTCTCCAACCTGATCCTTCTAATGGTCTTCCAATGGTGTCTCCTTCCCCCACTACACCACTCAGTCCATCCACCGTTCTTCTGGGTGTCCTCTTCTCTTCCCCTTCCCCCTGTCCCATCACTATGGACTTCTCTGGAGATTGGATGGCTTACCTCAATGAGAAATTGATGGATGGATGAACATCAAGGCAGGTGTCAACTCTTTAACAACCTCCTAGATGTTCTCCATGAAGACCTGTCTCTACTCTGGTCCTTCGACTCTTCCAATGACGACCCCATCTCCAGTAGGACTTGAGGTCCTCCACCTTCCTGGGCGCATGTGTGAAACTGTGAAGCAAGTGGGGGGTGGGTGGGGCGAACCGGTGGCGATGAAACGTGAAACCCACCGCTGGGTGGATGGATGGAGTTGGGTGGGATATGGAGAGAGAAGGACTCTCTCGGTCTTTCACTACTGTTGAAGACTTTCTTACGCAGAGAAGAAGTTGTCAAAAAGTTGTGGACGGATGGAGAGGGCAGAGACATGGACTATGTTTTCGAATCTCCCCACTGTGGAGACCGCGGAGAAGACCCCGGAACGTTCTGGTCCACTCACAAGTGTTTCCATCTTTTCCAGGAACTGGCGTTGTCTCACAAAGCGCTCCGCCAGGTGACAATTTCCCCAGAAGGTAAGACACACATTCTACCATCTTTATGCGGCAACCAAAAATCCACCAAAGTGCTTAACGGGACCTAGGTCCTCTTCTTGTGACCGTAAGCTCCGTTGCTAGGTGAGGCAGCGAAGGGAGTCTTTTTTCCCCTTCTTACCACCCCTCTTGCCCCCGTTGTTAAAGGGAATTGCTGCAGTGGTTAAGTGAGCCCCCGTTGTTAAGCGAATCGGGCTTCCCCGTGCACTTTGCTGGGTCAAAAGAGCCACAAAGGGGGGGAATCGCGCGACCCCAGAGATGCTGCGACCGTTGTAAATACAAGGGCCAAGCGTCCGGCTTTTGATCATGTGATGCAGCAACGGTCGTAAGTGTGAAACTTTATCGGAAGTCACCTTTTTTTTAGTGCCATTCTAACTTTGAAAGGTTGTTAAATGAGTGGGCTATATGGGCCAACCCTGATTGTCGGAGCAAATTGGTTCCTCCCCAGCTGATCATGGGAGCGAACCAGTTTGCTCGAATCGATCCGAACCGGCTGAATCTCATCGTTGGTAGCAAGAAAGGATCAGTGTCTCTTTAGATTGCTTTATTTGATTTCCCGGCTCGCTCCCAAGAAGTGGACTTAAACTCGAACAACACTTGAATATTTTTATTTTTACAAACACAGATAGTCCTCAACTTACCACAATCCATTTAGTGACCGTTCTGACAGCACTGAAAAAAAAAGCGACGTACGGCTGTTGTTCACCCTTAACAACCGTTGCCTCATTCCCACGGTCACGTGATCAAAATTCAAACAACTGGGGAAACCGACTCCTATTTATGATGGTTGCAGCATCCTGGGGGGGGGGGTCTTGTCATGTGAGCCCCCCTTTGGCGACCCTCTGACGAGCAACGTCAGCTTCACTTAACAACCGTGTGGCGAACTGCGGCAATTCGCTGAAGAGTGGTAGCCAGAAAGGTCGTAAAATTCAACCAAACTCGCTTAACGACTTGTCTCGCTTGGAAGAAGACATTTAGGGCTCCATTGTGGCCGTTAAGTCGAAGAGTAGCTGTACAGATTTTTTAAAAGGGGACTAGGAAATTGAAATCGGAGCCTCCTTTCTAAATGGAGGAAGTTGTGGGAGCTTCATCCTTGGAGGCTTTCGAGAAGGGACTGGACTGCCATCTGTCAGAAATGGGAGGGGTTGGACTAGATGACCTACAAGGTCCCTTCTGACTCTGTTATTCTGTTGTAACAAACTGTTAAGTCGTAATCTCCAGAACGGGTGCCAGCGAGCCTTGGATTTTCTCTCTCTTTCAATGAAAACTTTTTTTATTCGTTTATCGAAGTATAAAATGCAAAGATTCTCTTTCCTAATTCGTAAATAAAAATACCCACCGTCGGAAATTCCGATCTCCCAGCCAGCTTTTTAAAAATGGGTGTGTATGTGTGTGTGTCTTTTGTGTGTCGGTGCTGCAAATATTTTCCCCCCCCACCTTCCTCTCCATTCTCGGAGAGATCAAACGGAACGCTTAGCTCGCCGTAATCGCCGAATAAACGGTTTAAACTTTAACCTTCTGTTAAACTTGATCAACTTGTCTGAACTTTCCGCAGCTCTCGAGAAGGATGGGTTCAAAAAAGACGCCATCTTCGGGTTCCTGGTGGCCGAGGTGCCCCCCGCACGAAAAAGCAAAGAGGGTACGGCGAGAGACCAGGGGTTCCCCTGGCTGGGGAGGGGAGGAGGGGGTAGCCAAGGCCAGAGATGGACTGTGGGAATTGGGGGTTGAAGGGCAAGGCAAAAATATGTCATATGCCTTATCAACAACTTTGGGTTGGTTGCGGTGCCCGAAGAAATGGAAAAGGTGCCAATTTGGTCTAGTGGTGAAGGTGCCAGGCTAAAGAACCAGGAGATTGTGAGTTCTAGTTCACCATAGGAATGATGGCTCGGTGACTTTGGATCAATCACCAGGAGACTGGGAGTTCTAGTCCCGCCTTAGGCACGAAAGCCAGCGGGGTGACTCTGAGCCAATTACCAGGGGACAGTGAGTTCTAGTCCCACCTTAGGCATGAAAGGCAGCTGAGTGACTTTGGGCCAATCACCAGGAGGCTGGGAGTTCTAGTCCCGCCTTAGGCATGAAAGGCAGCTGGGTGACTTTGGACCAATCACCAGGAGGCTGGGAGTTCTAGTCCCGTCTTAAGCATGAAAGCTAGATTGGTGACTTTGGGCCAATCACCAGGAGGCTGGGAAATCTAGTCCCGCCTTAGGCATGAAAGGCAGCTGGGTGACTTTGAGCCAGTCTCTCTCTCTCATACCAACCCACCTCACAGGGCTGTTGTGAGGGAAATAGGAAGAGGAAAGAGTCATAGATATATTCACTGCCCCAACTTACTTGTAAAAACCAAAAAAGGTGGGATATGAATGAATTAATGAAGAGAGAGAGAGAGAGATTGGAAGGAGAAGAGAAGGGAAGGAGAATAAGAGAGAGAGAGAGAGAAAGGAAGGAAAGAAAGAAAGATTGGAAGGAGAAGGAAAGAAGGAAGAATAAAGAGAAAGAAAGAGAGAGATGGGAAGGAGAAGAGAAGGAAGAAGAATAAGAAAGAGAGAAAAAGGAAGGAAACAAAGAAAGATGGGAAGCAGAAGAAAGGGAGGAAAGGAAGGAGAATGAGAAAGAAAAAGAAAGGAAGGAGAGAAAGAAAGATGGGAAGGAGGAAAGAAGGAAGAATAAAGAGAAAGAAAGAGAGAGAGATGGGAAGGAGAAGAGAAGGAAGAAGAATAAGAAAGAGAGAAAAAGGAAGGAAAGAAAGATGGGAAGGAGAAGAAAGGGAAGAAAGGAAGGAGAATGAGAAAGAGAAAAAGAAAGGAAGGAAGGAAAGAAAGAAAGAAAGATGGGATGGAGAAGGAAAGAAGGAAGAATAAAGAGAAAGAAAGAGAGAGATGGGAAGGAGAAGAGAAGGGAAGGAGAATAAGAAAGAGAGAAAAAGGAAGGAAAGAAAGATGGGAAGGAGAAGAAAAGGAGGAAAGGAAGGAGAATGAGAAAGAGAAAAAGAAAGGAAGGAAGGAAAGAAAGAAAGAAGGAAAGATGGGATGGAGAAGGAAAGAAGGAAGAATAAAGAGAAAGAAAGAGAGAGATGGGAAGGAGAAGAGAAGGGAAGGAGAATAAGAAAGAGAGAAAAAGGAAGGAAAGAAAGATGGGAAGGAGAAGAAAAGGAGGAAAGGAAGGAGAATGAGAAAGAGAAAAAGAAAAGGAGAGAAAGAAAGATGGGAAGGAGAAGGAAAGAAGGAAGAATAATGAGAAAGAAAGAGAGAGAGAGAGATGGGAAGGAGAAGAGAAGGAAGAAGAATAAGAGAGAAAAAGGAAGGAAAGAAAGATGGGAAGGAGAAGAAAAGGAAGGAAGGAGAATGAGAAAGAGAAAAAGAAAGGAAAGAAAGAAAGATGGGAAGGAGAAGTAAAGGAAAGAAGGATGGAAGGAAGGATAAAGAGAAAGAAAGACAGACAGGAAGAAAGAAAGAAAGAGAGAGAGAGAGAAAGAGAGAGAGAGAGGCAGAGACCTTAACACATCACCGTGAAGACCCAAGAAAACTCTCGCAAGGGCCCCCAGCGAGAAAAGTGCATTAAATTCCCCCCCACCCCGAGAATTGCGAAGCCATCGCACTCCCCATCCCCTCCGCAGAATCCAGGTTCATCCTTCCTCTCCGTCCCCCGCTGTTTTCTGCTCTTTTTCCGCGGCAGGACACACCATTGTCGGCTACCAGTTCCACTACATGACTTACTGCACCTGGGACGGCCCGATTTTCTTCGGCGAAGATCTCTACGTGATGCCGGAATTCAGAGGTAGGGGAGAAATCTCCAGCAGTCTCTTTTATAATCAGGAGAGGATCTTAATGACCACCAGCTGAGTGCAATCACCTCCTGTAATTACGCCGTTGTTCTTGACTCCGAGTAGCCCTTCGATGGCGTGCATCCTGGAACAACTCACAGGTGTTTTCTGGAGCACTCCCTCTTGTCTCCTCCCCACTGATCCAAGGCTCCGGCGCCACCTGGTGGCCCACCAGTCTCTCCTCGCCCTGCTCGGAGTCGG